AGCTTCAGAGCTGCTAGACTGAAATATGCTAAGTGGTTTTCCCAGTTAGCATTGTTGCTAACCCTCACTGAGAGACTCCAGAGTTTAAAATTTGGTTAAAAAATATGCCAAGCTAGGTCTCAATATAACCGACCTGGTTGAGCAATTAATCCAAATGTTGACGACTACTTCAGAGGACTAAGTTTGCATTCATACTGTCCACTCACAGCCTTTCTTAGATGGTGTACTATATAATAAAGACTTAACAAAGTTCATTCTCATCTTGCAATGTTCTTTACTGATGCATAATAGAGTTTGTGCCCAATGGCATCAACTTTGGCACGCTGATGGCAATAAATATGTTAAATATCAAACTGCATTTGAAACAAAGTAAGTCAAAACAGTTCAGAAATGTTGATCTTTACCTTTAAATACATGAAATATGAAACGTACTTTCTTTCCCTTCATTAAATCTGCATTCATAATGCATACATGTCATACATGTTCCTCATGTTTGCACAGCACATTCATGATATCTCTGCTTCGTGTAAAGTCTGTTTGTTAAGCTGATATTACAGATGCAAAGACTGGAGACTGTGAGACACTAAAAAATACTACTGGTTACCAGTGCTACTCCTCAGCCTTCTAGTAGATAAACCTATGGTATCAATTTAGAAATCCTGCATCACCTTGGCTTGATGCATGCTCAATCATCCAGGTAAATAAACCCCAAAAGGTTGATTCTGTTTATCTGGATGTAGTGTTCTCCCACTGAAAACGCTACAACCAGATGAACAGAATCAACCATTTGGGACCTACATCACATTATTCTCACGTTCTAGTATTCACAAGATTGTCAGAAAACTTGACCTCTGATCTTAAAGGTCAATGTCTTGGATTCAAATTCGTCCAAAATCTTTCGTATACCTTTGGTATCAATTTGAACCTCCTGCGTCGCCTGGTTCTTGAGTAATCATATTCACAAACTTGGATTTCCAAGCTGCCTGCCCGCCTCACGGCCTTTTACGTCAGAGGGATAAAGAGTGTATCCACTTAGGCAGGTCAAGGCTAAGTGGATATGTTTATATACATGGCCATCAAACTCAAAGTGTTGGTCCGGGGATGTTATATCCCATTTTATAGAGAACAGTCTCTCTGCTGGTTTGGAAAGTCTGAAGCTCCAGTATTTAAAGCAGCCACAATTAAGGAAATGCCTGCACCTTTTATCTCTGAGACAGTGTGAGCAGTGAGTAAACCGCAGTTTTACTGGTTGGACTTTCACCAAAATTAAGGGTCTGACCAAGACATCTGTCCATTTTTAAAACTTTTTTGTGAGGAGATTGCTCACAGTTGAATTGTGGCACAAAATACTTGAGAAAATTACTTTATTTTTTCTGATACTCCTCATCCCCTGTGTCATGCTCTCTGCAGTAACACAAAAACAAAACACTTGAGTCTGTTTGAAGCTGCTTCAGCCTATCGTCACTTTATTAAGGGACACCCTGAAACAAAGGGTTCTCATTGCCATGACAGTCAAATAGGTACGGACTGGCCTTATTATCCCCATTGTGGAAAAACCTGACTGGAGAAAATGAATTGTTCTGTACACTTTAAAGGCTTTTTCATTTTCAACATGTTTGACTCAACCTTTAGAAATGCTGTCAGATGGGTCAGCAGCTAAGAGCGGTGATGTGCTGCATAACTGCACTTTACCTCATGTAACAAGGGAAAAAAGAGAGCCATGCTGGTTTAAAGAGCACTGTGATTAGAGAGACAGCTCCGAAGATCTTTTGGAGTGGTGAACTATGGCATCTTTTCTCCTGATGAAATGCATCAGTAACGAAAGTGTTGGCAGTCAACCTTTAGCTGAGACCTTTACATCAGCTGTTCTCTGAGCAGAGAGCGAGGAGAAAATCAAATTTTTATGAGTGTCACATGCAAGGTTACCGCTCCTTTATTACACCTACAAAACACACCTGAGGACTGTGGAGAGCTTAGCTTTATCAAAGCAACAACTTCAACACCTTTACAGGTTGTACAAACCATTTTATATGCACCATGTAAACATGTCATGGTCCAAGGGTTGTTTTTAAGTTTTGGATTCAGATCTTTTTCTCCTTTTGTCTGCTCCCTTTAGATATCGCCACCACAGATCATCTGCCACTATCTCACCCTATTGTTTGAATCATCGTCATCTGTCACACTAACTCCCTCCATGAATCATCTCTCTGGCTTTTCTTCTTTCCTGTTCCCTGTTAGTTATTGGTTGTTTGTTCCCTTCCGGTTTTGCTTTGGTGGTTGGTTTGCGTGATGTCTTGTTTGTGTCATGTAATATGAAGTTTAAATTAGTTTTCAAGCACAATCAAGTGTTTTGATTGTACATTCAAACCTGGTCAAACTCAGGAAAGAGGTGTGATTTTCAGCGTGTAGTCTGTCCTCTCGGTCTGCTGAGTTACATCACATGTGTTGACTTGCAGAGCAGTTAGTCGTCTCCTTCTTTCCATCTCAGACCGGCCGCCCCTCTCAGCAGATAGACAGCTATTGATAGAGTAAAGAAAAAGCTCCATCTGCCTCTTAATACAGGATAAGACTGTGGGAGGAAGGATGTGGGGCTTAATCTCTCTGTCTTTAATTGTGTCCCAAATCAGACAGATCCTCAGATTTTTAGACCGGCTACAACAAAAAAAAGCCTAAAAAGATCTCTTTTCTCAAATATTAAGATATTTGATCAATAAGACCCTCGGTATGTTATATTTTATCCTCTCATCATCAGTCAGTTATGCAGTGTTAAGTTGATACATCACATAAGTACAGAGAATTTGAATTTAGGTTTAAAAAACCACTATGAGAAGCAAATATTAAAGATTTTTTATTCCCTCTCAGTGGAAAAAGGATGCAGCACATTTTGTTTTAAATATGCACGTCTACAAAAGAAATCAAATTTAATTCAGAAAGCCCACAATCTTGATACAAAAACAAGCTTTACTTAGAGTATAAAGTTACCAGAACCATAGAGGCAAACAAACAGAGCAGGCAGAAAGAGTCTGAGAGAACTAAAAGCACAAAGTCAGCCTGGCAAAGAGGGAGTGGTGAGAGGTTTCAGTGGAATCAGGTGAGCAAAGGGTGATGCAGCAGGTGCAAAGGAGGTACAGGTGGGGGTGACTGCCACGAAGAGACATGACAGTAGATTAGAAGAAGATAAAAACAGACTTAACAGATGTCTGAAAGACAAAAGAAACTAGTGTTTCTGAGTAAACACTGTCAATCCAGTTTTAAAGGGTTTACATGGTATAATTCATTGTGGTTTGAAGCTGTGTTTAATTTTATTCAGAAAGGCAAAATAATTATGTGAATATAATCTATAGCATCAGAATTTTCACCAGCAGAATTGTGGTCAGGCTACTTAATCCATATATCCATTTATTTATCCATTTATATATTTTATACATTTAGCCATGTATTAAATCTGTTATTATGAAATGCGATTCTAGAATTTATCTATTGGAAAATGTGTCAGCCAAACCAGGGTTTATGGTTTTGGACCCTCTGGGGATCCACCGGGAGTGCTACAGGGGTGCAGGGTATCTGGTCTGTTGTCATGAGCCATTCGGTCCCTGCACAGTTATAGTGAGACCTGGTCCTTCATCCCATCAACACGTCAGACACATTCCAGATTTTTGTGGATAGAATTTCTATGCATAGCCAAGTATGCAAGGTCACCCCTCTGCTTTCAGTAGATGATGTGCTTCGGCTGACTTTATCAGCTGGTAACCTTCAGCTCCCACTGAAGTGGTTCACAGCTCAGTGTGAAATGTGGGAATTAGAATTAGTGTGACAGAAATTAGTTTCCTCTAAAAGGTGTCTGGGCTCTCCTGTAGTGATTCAGCCATAAAGGAGGAAGTCACAGTAGAGCCGTGACTCCTCCACATCAAAGGGAGTCAGTTGAGGAGGTTCGGGCATCTGACTAGGATTCCTCCTGAATGTCTCCTGGATGAGGTATGTGTCCTACAGGGAGGCAGACCCAGGACTCGCTGTAAGGATCTGTCTCTCAGCTGGACTAAGAATCACTCAGTGTTCCCGTCGAGGAGGTGGCTGGGGTGAAGGAGATTTGAGCTTCTCTGCTTAGAAGGCTGCCTCTGCAAACAGGAAGTGACAGAAGATGGATGGATAGATAAGGAGAGATTATCTGCATGACATTTTAAGGACTTTTTGTTGTAACCATGGCAACACTTTTATGAGTGACTTGGTGATTTAAAAGGTTAGACTATGTTTTTCCTGGTAAAACTCACACTGTTGAGCATGAGTCCTATCCTATCTTACCAGCATGAGGAAAATCCAACCATAACTTAAGGGTGGAGACACCTGTTTGTTTGCCACTGTGGGACAGTAAAACTCTCTTAAAACCAGAATGTTATCACAAGTTAAAAATGATTTCTTCACCCCAGTCAGCAAGCAATCTCTTTTTTAATCTGCAGTGGAGGACTCAGATTTACCAAAACTGAAAATATATGAAAAATCAACCTAATGTATCAGTTCAGGGATACATCTGTCTCACCCTGCGTCTCTTCATTGGTCCCTCTGCTCCTGTAACATCTGCTGCTGTGGCAGAAAAACACTGCACACACATACCACACACAGAAGTGTGTGCGTATTAAAGTTTATGCTCATAATCCATGAAGATGATAATGCACCTAATTAACTGACACCTATACACATGAGATGTCATGACTGACCTATATTACTACTTGCCTATTTCTTAAACACTCTCTATGCCCCCTTTATTTTTCCCTCCATCTGTCTCTCGTGGTAAATCCCTCTCCCTCCTCCTGTCCTTGAGCTGATGTGGGATGCTGCACTCCGTATTCATGCTTTTGTGTTTTTGGTGCGCGCCTGTGGGAGTGTGCAGAGTTGTTAAGATGCTTTTAGCCATCGATGTTTAGGTCTTTGCTGCAAAATGTTCACGAAAACATCAAAAGTGAACGCAAACTCATCTGCTTTTCTTTCTCTCTCGTTCTCTGCAGCCTGCCAGGACCACCTGAGACTAGTGGTGAGTTTGCTCTCCTTCCCACCTTTTCTTCCCCTTTCTCCTGGGAATTGCAGTGATGGGGACAGACATTTGATGCTGGTCCACCTCATCTATACCATGTCGCAGAGTTACAGAGTTTTATGGTTGAGAAATACTCGCTGTTTTCAAGACATTGTTGAGACCGTTTGCTTTATTGCCTTGTGAATAATAGTCTGATGCACCACACATAAGGTTAGACCAGATCTACAATAACGATGTTGGTCTTAATTCATTCTTTTTTCTTGCAAGTCGGTGGTGTGTACAGTAATCTGTAGGCAAAGGTCAAGAGTTTTTTCACCAGTTGTTGTTTGTAGTCTGAGTAACTACAAGTCCTTGTTATTGTTTTTTTTAAATCTGCATTCATAGTTAGATTATAAGAGGACAATTATCAGTTATCTATATGCACTAAAGGCTCCAGAACAGTGGCTTTTACCCCCAGAGGCTTAAACGGAGTATACACAGGAAGGCTTTAGCAGGATTGTGCTGATAACTGACCATCTCAATGAAATCTCATAGACTTGCAGTGATTACAAGCAAAACAAGCCTGGATTGACCACTATAGCGATCCACTGTCAGCTACAAAGGGATGGGAGCAGCAGTGGAGCTTTCAGCTTCTAACGGCAGCTTTTCCAGATCAGTTTGCTTGTGCCTAACTTAGAACTAATTTAGCTCTTATATATTTTGCTGTGAGACTGGATCTTATTCTCATCATTTTAATAGTTTATCACAAACTGTATGATGTAGCCTAACAGACACCTCTCTGTTAACTGCACATCTGTTGTGAATGTCCTGTTCAGTACCATTGATTCTGCCTTTGCATTTGCATGTTCCAGTTTAACCGGTTTTCATACTAACTGGTTGTGTTTGTCACCGTTTCAACTCGGTGTAGCAAACTCCAGATATTTCCACTCACAGACTTTAGAAGTGAAAATTGAAGGCTGAAAATATGTGTTTACGTTTTCCCCTCAGTTTTTGAATGGATCGATAAGCAAATAATAAATATCGCCTCAGTGTAAAAAAATAATTATCAAAGCCTCAAAATGAGGACTCGCAGATGTCAACAAATCCCTACAGGAAAATTGAAAAACCTATTGGAATGGGTGCGAAAGAAAGAGCAAGCTTGAGGGACAGAAGTAATCTGCATGTAAAACACCAGGACACAACCATAATGTAAAGCACAGAGATGAACGCTGGCAACGGCTTCGACCACTTAGGCTCAAGCAGAAATCAGCCATGAGACACAAAAGACGCATAAAAATCTGCAGCTCTGTGAGATATTCAGTGACTCCACACTTACATTTTTTTATTGATTTATACTCTGTTTAAATTTTACCATTCATTGTATAGAAAACGCACACACACCATACACAAACAGCAGTGAGTGACTTGTTGCACTTTTTGCACAAAAGCACTCAGTTCCACGCGTGTCAATGAATGGCCAAATAGCGTGAAGCCTTGAAGGGCTAATGCAATGCATTCTGGGTAACAGCCACTATGATGCCTCATTAGTTGTATCCCGCAGCGACCCAACCAAGTGATGAATGGGTGCTGTGTGGGGGTCATTACTGTGCTTGTATGCATGTGTGTGTCTTTGGATCACGTTGCTCTTGTTGTGTGTGTGTGTGTGTGTGTGTGTGTGTGTGTGTGTGTGTAAGACAATCTTTTACTCTGCTCTTTGTATGTGCGTGGGTGTTGGGTGTAATTGAAATATCTGCCACACACATTTACTGCATGTCTGTATTAATGGAGATCATCTCGTTCAGAATTTGCTGATGGAGCTCTGAGCTCAGGTCAAGGTGACAGGAACCCAGAGGGAAACTGCAGAACACTCAATTAAGGTGTCCAAATGAACCACCACCCTGAGCGCGTGCGCACACACCCACAGACACACACCCACACACCATGGTAACCCTGACTCTGCCAATATACGTATCATTTTTTTCCATTATTGCCATATTAGATAGTGCACTCCTCTCCCTGTCTCACTCTTTAATGTCTCTGCTCTCATCTTTTGTTTCTCTACTTCCCCCTCTCATTTCTTCATCTTTTCTGCCACCCAGACTCGTCATGTCTCTTTATTTACCCCTGTCAAGTTAAAGAGTATCCTTATACATTATTTATTTGTGTGCGTGTGTATATGAGTTGCTCGATTGAATATCTTCATTCCGATGTTGAATTCAGGTTATGCAATGTTCAAATTCAAAGACTTTCACTTTCAGACATGCTTGGACAGCAGAAGTTACAAACACTGGAGCTGTGCACAGATTATCCACTAAAATGTATTGTTACATAATTACACCAGATAACATGCTGCATAAACAGATGCTGGAACATCTGCATCATATTTGTGGCCATAAACAGCAGCGTTGCCATAGCAGCTTATCACCTACAACATACTTTATTGCGACATTAAAAATGAGTAACTGTTTTTTTAAAGCAGTGGTAATTTAATCAGTCCACATTTATCGTGCAGCACTTTTCCTGCAGGTGAGTTTAAAGTGCAGTGCTTATTGTTCAGACTGAACAATAAGACTGAACAATTGTATCCAAAATGAGCGATTAAATATAAATGAAATGAAATAAATGTAAACAAAAACAACAGAGATTGTATGAGTGTAACGTGAGGGTTCGTTGTGTGGTTCTGAATCTCACAGAACTATTAGAAACAGCAAGATGGAGATGGATAACTTACTCTCTGCACACCTTCTTGTGTACAGCCCTCGTGATACTTCACTGGCCGCTCAGAAGCCAGGAAATCCTACACTCAGATAAATGCAGGAAAACCAACTAGGTAGATTCAACACATACTTATTACTGCTTTGAAAGTGCATGTGTAAACATTCAGACATTCAGATACATATAAATATCAAAACGGTTAACCACCGAATGGGTACATAACTTGCTTCTACACTTTACATCTGTATGCACAGCTACTGGTTATCCCTAGCACATTTATACTTTAGGCTGAGCAACTACAATCTGAAATATGGCTCCAATATGTGTTTTAATAATAATTTTTATGATCATCTGTGTCAGCTTAACAGTTCTCATCAGAAACCCTAATAAAGTCAGCCATGTGCATGGAAAATGAAACAAAAGCCAAAGCAGTGAAACATATTCCATATTCCTATAGAAGAGAAGACATTACTTCCCTTTCTCTCACGAGAATTATGTCTTATTCCAACCTGAGCTCTTACTGCTTAAGGACACAGAAACACCAGAGTCTAAAGAATTGGTTAAAATTTTGTCTCTTTTGAAAGTTAATCATCTTTGATAATGTTACCATAACAAATGGAAACAAAAGAATTCATAGAGTTCAAGAACTCAGAAATGTGATGGATGGTAGAAAAGAAGGCGTTAGGTGAAACAGACGAGCCTGTCCTGAAACATAACCTCTGCCCTTTGTGAACTTCAGGACAGGAGAGGAAGCAATGGTGCAGAGAAGGAAGAAGAGAGGAGCTGAAAGCATGTAATGTCTTTGTAAGCCAGTTTTTTTTCCTTTTCTTTTGTTTTTTCCAAAGCTAACCGCTAATCAAGGACCTCAACAAAAGAATGTACAGTGAAATAAAATAAAAACGATTTCCTTCCTTCTCCTGTCATCTCTTGTTAGTCGTCAGGAACAACTGCACATTAAAATTCTGGAAACGTCATTATTCCCTTTAGCTGGTATTAACTGTGGAGTCTATCCAGTAGAGTTGTGTATCTAAATTATTCATGCGGCTTTGCTTGTACAGGTGTTAAGACTCAAAACAAAACGTCTCTCTGGATACGATGCAGAATAATTTTTCAGACTGCAAAGCTGTTATATTGTATTGGGATTCCCTCCTTCTACCATTTTGGTTGTAAAATAATTTATGAGGTGAAGCTTCTTCATACAGTCTGAACAATGCAGGGCACCATGGGGAGGGTGTGTGTGGGGTTGTGTCTTTCAGTTGGTATAATTAATCCCTTTCTGATCTCGTGTGATTCTGTTAGTAAAAAGTGAGCAAAGTGGACAGATTCAACATCGCTGAAAGAAATCGACAGTAAGAACTAAATTCCTCTGGCAGATTTTAATGATACACACCACCTATGATCAAAGAAAATAAGTTTTAAATTTCAATTCATTGTTCATAAAACTGTGCAGGGTGTGAAATAATTTTATAACACTTGAATTTGGAAGTGCGTGCGTGTCTCCTGTGAGCTGGGTGGAGTCGTTTTTGGGTGGGTTTTTTTCTGCTAATTAGCAATAATTAGCAGATAATGATATACAGTGGGGCAAAAAAGTATTTAGTCAGCCACCGATTGTGCAAGTTCCCCCACCTAAAATGATGACAGAGGTCAGTAATTTGCACCAGAGGTACACTTCAACTGTGAGAGACAGAATGTGGAAAAAAAATCCATGAATCCACATGGTAGGATTTGTAAAGAATTTATTGGTAAATCAGGGTGGAAAATAAGTATTTGGTCAATAACAAAAATACAACTCAATACTTTGTAACATAACCTTTGTTGGCAATAACAGAGGTCAAACGTTTACTATAGGTCTTTACCAGGTTTGCACACACAGTAGCTGGTATTTTGGCCCATTCCTCCATGCAGATCTTCTCGAGAGCAGTGATGTTTTGGGGCTGTCGCCGAGCAACACGGACTTTCAACTCCCGCCACAGATTTTCTATGGGGTTGAGGTCTGGAGACTGGCTAGGCCACTCCAGGACTTTCAAATGCTTCTTACGGAGCCACTCCTTTGTTGCCCGGGCGGTGTGTTTTGGATCATTGTCATGTTGGAAGACCCAGCCTCGTTTCATCTTCAAAGTTCTCACTGATGGAAGGAGGTTTTGGCTCAAAATCTCACGATACATGGCCCCATTCATTCTGTCCTTAACACGGATCAGTCGTCCTGTCCCCTTGGCAGAAAAACAGCCCCATAGCATGATGTTTCCACCCCCATGCTTCACAGTAGGTATGGTGTTCTTGGGATGCAACTCAGTATTCTTCTTCCT